CTTAAAGCACAAGGAAGATTCTGCTAAACATACTAAGATGGGAAAAGCATTCTAGGCCAAGAGAATACCATGCGCAAAGGCCTAAGATCTCCCTACAGCAGTGAGGCTTCATTCCAGGAGAACCCCTGTCCCCTCTCCACTGAGACTGTCCCCATTTCCCTTCTCTTTACTACATTCACAGTTGACTTCTTCTTCACTCCCCCCTGGACTCTGGAGTCTCACCTTTTATACCCACAGTTTTCAAAGTGTGCACCAGGGATCCCTGAGGGTCCCTAAAACCTTTCAGGAAGTCTGTGGAGTCAAAACTATTTATAATAATGTTACAACATCATTTTCCCTTTGCATTCTGACTTTCTCATGAACTCACGGTGGAGTTTTCCAGGTTGAATGCAGAAACAGGTCCTTCAATAAAGCCAAATGTTGAAATATAAATATGCCAAAATATAAAACAATGCCATTCCATTCATTTTTGTTTCTTTTGGAAAAGTCATTATTCATAAAAGTATATTATTTATGTTAAAGTAAATTTTTTTTCCATTTAAATAAGTGACAACAATTATAACATTATTTTTTCAGTATTACTAACATGGCAAATTTTGACAGATATAATCCACATAAATAAAAACCTTTTGGGGTCTTCAGTAACATTGAAGAGTAAAACACTTTGCTGAAATGAGAGAGTTTGAGCACTGCTGTTTTAGGGCATGCTGTGAAGAAGGCGGGAAGGCAAGGGAGGACAAGGTATATAAGTGTTCTTGGGCAGCCATTTCAGACAGCAATTTCTGCCCATGACTGGGCTCCATTTTGAGTTAATTTTTGTATATGGTGTGAGGAAAGGGTCTAACTTCATGCTTTTTCACGCGAACAGTTAGTGCCCCAGCACTGTTTGCTTAACAGACAATTTAGTCTCTCAGTGCCTTGGTAGCCTTAACTCTAATGTGAACTTTACATGGCTACTTTGAAAGATATTGTGACATTTAATGAGAGAGAGCGAGAAAATCACGATGTGGGGTCCCTGGCATGTAGCAGATGGTCAATGCTTATAACTGAATAAATGGACCATGGATCTGAAAGTGTTTTGAGGCACCAGCCATCACGATTGCTACATGACCAGAGCTGTTCCATCCCTAAAGGTCTTTAGAACCCACGGCCACATTTTCTTGTCACCAAGGCCCAGGCTATCCTCAAGACACTGATTTGCAACCCCTTTCCAGGAGCCCCTGTTTCTGAGTGATCCTGAGGATGTCTTTGTCTTCTCCTCTTCCCTTTTTTTGTCCTTTACTTTCTACCTTAATTTTTTCATTAAATGTTCTTGGTCTTAATTACTTAAATTTAAATGGCTGCCCAAGAACACTTATATACCTTGTTAACCTACTCAGATCCTTTTTGTCAAGGGGGTGGGAAGGCATGACTGAATGAATGAGTCAATCAGTGAAAACACCCCTAATTTAAAGACTGAAAAGTGAAACCCCTGCAAGCTAAAGTGACTCACAGGGGTCATCCCACTGCAGGTGTGAGAGGTGAGGCCGTGTGAAGCTAGCTCCAGGGCTCTCCACAGTCCTCATTTCCTCCTCCCACCCTGGAAGCATCCTTTTAAATCATGTCTCCCTCCTCCACAGTGTTTGCAACACCTCCTGATTTAGTTTTCTCTCTGAATTTCATTAGTGTCCCATTTACCTCCTCCTCCTGATCTTCCAGCCGTTAAGCAGGAGGAGGCTGAGTTAGCAACAAGGTCTCTGCCTCCTGACCAAGGGAGAGGGGAACTCACAGAGGAGGAGAAAAGGGACCCCTGGGCTGCAATGCCAGATGCTGTTCTGGTCCACTGGGCTCAAGACAATAGACAGTAATTGGGTCCTATCTGTGTGTCATGCACTGGGCACTCAATGATGAGGAGCTATTCTTGCCAGGAAATCCCCAGGCTCATGGAGATGGATGGATAACGTCTGTGTCATGTGGTGAAGGGACTTTATCCTCCTGGGCAGGCAGAGTGGCTGCATGAAAAGTGAGCTAGTGGTGGGAGGAGAAAGGCAGTGGGGACATTCTAGAAGGAAAGAACTGTATGTGGAGGCTGGATGGCTTGAACAGTAAGTAGCATGTAAACAAGTAACAATATGGACCCTATTCAATGATTTGTTCTTACGCTCCCCTCATTGAATCTTTACGAGGTGCCTGCCATGTGCCAGGCATCTTTCCAGGGAGAAGAACAGTGCAGGGGCCAACAGAGTAGGTCCCTGCCCTTGTGGAGCTTACGTTCTAATAGAAGAAGACAGAAAATAGGCAGTTAAACTTGTCTAGTAATATATGCACCAGGTAGAGACAGATGCCATGGAGAAAGGTTTAAGCAGAAGACGGGCCCAGAAAGAAATGGCCTGGGAGGACTGTTCCTTTGCACACAGTGGTCAGGGTAGGTCCTCACCTTCATTCAGCTCAACCTTGCCCACACCTCTAGGGCCCTGTGGCTCCTTGAGCAGCAAACATGCTGGTGCTCAGGGTCCTTCAAGTGGCCTTAGGGACAGGTGAGCAGGCTGCTGCAGTGGTTGAGCTCTGAGATGGTGCTTGGACCAGTATGGGGACAGGGGAGGAGGTCACAAATGCTGACGATGGGGCAGAAGTAATTGGGTCAGTGTACACACAGCACAGAACACAAGGGGAGGGATGGTGGAAGATGAGGGTGGAGAGACAAGGGAACATCCCAGATGGAAGAATCTGCCTGTGTCGGGGTGCACATTTGATTCTATCCTGCCAGACTCAGATTCTGCAGCCTGGTATTTTTGCAAAATCTTTCCTCCTCCAGTTTAGATGAGTTCAATGGGACCAACTATGTGGAAGGCCCGCAACACCCAGCCCAAGAGACTCTGCTGCTGGGGATGAGCAGCAGAGTCTCTTGGGCTGGGTGTTGGGGAACCAGGGAGAGAAAGTCCCCGGAGAGAGAGGGATTGGAGAAGAGGGAGAGGAGACCACACTTCTGAGGTTTAGATGGGGTGGAGTTCTAGATTCAACGACTTTAAAATTTTAACTTTCATGTCATTATTACATGTGAGTATGATGAGGTCGAAGAGTTCACTTTCAGCTTTTATCTTACTATGTTGAGTGAGCATTGGTTTTCTTATCTTAAAAAATGGGGTCATCAGAATACCTTATGGGGTTATGGGAGTCAAATGAGATGCATCGATCAAATACTTGGCACAGTGCCTTGGTAAATGTGGCCCCATTTTACCTGTCCCTCTAAAGAAAGCAAAAAAAAAAAAATTTTTTTTTTTTTTTTTTAAGACAGAGTCTCTTCTGGGTTCAAGTGATTTTTCTGCCTCAGCCTCCCGAGTAGCCAGGACTATAGACATCTGCCACCATGCTCAGCTAACGGCTTTTTACTTTTAGTAGAGATGGGGTTTTACCATGTTGGCCAGGCTGGTTTCAAACTCCTGACCTCAAGTGATCTGCCCACCTTGGCCTCCCAAAATACTAAGATTACAGGTGTGAGCCACCATGCCCAGCCAAAGGGTAAGAGGTCTTATTGGAGCTCCTCAGAGAACCTGACTCCATTGCGGAGCAGTGATCTCAGTTTGTAGTTACACACCTGTCAGGGTGAAGGAAGAGACTACCTTTGTTTTTGTTCTTTGTGCTATCCCCAGAGCCTAACATAGTGCTGGGCTCATGGTAAATCTTCCACATGTCTTTGTCAAATAACTAAATAAATGATTAATTAGAAGTTACATAAGGTCCAGACTCAAGCACTTTTTATTTGGAAGACCTTTGACAAGACAATTTCTCTAAGCCTCAATTCCTTACCTGAAAAATGGAAATCATATCTACTGTGGCAGAAGGAGTTACTGCTTCTAAAACACCCATGTCTTCCTCACCTTCTAGAACCCAGGAAATCAGGCAGGACAACAGGGCTAGTTCTGACCAATGAGTTGTGTGTCACTTCAGGACCAAGGCATCTAAGAGTCAATGCTCAACCGCCCAATGATTTCCTTGTCTGATACAGATACCCAAGCGGCCAATCATCCAGGTGGTACCCCTAAAATATGGCAGAGCTTTCATCAGCCTGGTCCCTAAGCCACTAGGTAGAGCAAAGCTTTCCACCAACCTTGAATGGATATGGAGCATGAGCAAGAAATAAACTTCTGCTATGTTAAGCCACTAGGATACTGGAGTTAATTTATTACTGCAGCATAACTAAACCTAACAAGACACATATTTCTATCCTGAAAGATTGCTGGAAGGATAAGAAAAAGTGCTTGGTACCCAGTAGGTTCACAGTACGTTTTCAATAAAGGGCACACTCCCTCTTCCCTGGATCCTTTCTCTGCATCTTCAGCCTCCCTCAATGTGACCAACTTTCACTCCTCTCTGTACCATGTTCCTTCTCTAGCTTGTAACATCATTCCATGTTTCCCACAGAATCCAGAAGTTTCTTGCTGTTTTTTCATTGCTTTTCTGCACAACAATATGAGGAAAAGCTTCTAGAGAGCCATCTTAGCCATTGGACCTGGCCTCCAGACTACCTGCCTTCTGGTCAGGCTTTCAATCACCTCTGCAAATCCCATTCACCACTCTGCCTCTGATCTCACTCCATCTCAGCTCAAGATGTAGCCACCAGACACTGGGCCCTGCACGCCGGTCTTCTGTACCCCAGAATGACCTTGATTGGCATTGCTGCCTCTGTGGTCCTAGACTCACATGGGACCTCCTTGCTGCCAGCACCCCATCACATACCTGCTGGACACCTGATCCTTGCTCACCTTGCCCTCCCACCATACTGGCTGCCAGCTTGGTTTCCAGCAGCTATTGCCACCTGCCAGTCCTACTGCATCTGCTTCCTGAAAAGGAAGCAGGGAACTCCTTTACTCTGGCCAGGCCTCCTTTACTTTCTATGTTGCCAAGCTGTAAAAGCCTCCAATCAAAAAACATGCAAATGTTCACAGTCTGAGAATGCATTTCTCATCAAGCCCACAAATTTGTAGCTAATGACAGAAAATCAGAGAAGACATGGGACTGACCTGGCTCCATGTCAGCACGTTCTGAAGAGTCAGCAATGTCTGTCGGCCCTGCAGCCCTTTCCCCAAGGCCATTGGATCCTGGAGGACGGTGCAGGATCTTTTCTGTTGAAGCAGAGAACACAGATCCAAGTGAGTGAGGTGGCAAGATGCCCCAATCCCTTCTCCCAAACCCCCCACCCCCACCAACCCAGCGGTCACTGCAAACACACATCATGGGAAAATAGGGCTTGTTCCTAGTCCCACAGCAATGAAGAGAAGCAAGTAGAGTCCTAGCACCTTGCAAATCCCATACAAATGCTTCTTCTATGCAGTCTTCCTGAGAGGCTCGAATGTATTCTCCCATCTTCACCTTGTGCTATGGGAGTAATGGTCTTGTCTTAAAATCATGAAGATATGCCCTTTTTACAACCCAAGCACCCAGCACAGGGCTTGAAGCCAGTGGGAACTGAGTGTTATTTGCACAAAGACTTGACTGCATGCTGTGACGGGGGTAGACAGGGAATGGAGCATGGGGCCAAAACCTAGTGTTGGTGCTCAGCGGCCCCCGTTAACAGCTCTATCACAGATTCAGCAGACAAAAAAGTCACTGACCTTCTCTGAATCTTACTGTCTTGCTGCTATGGTTTGAGTGTATTCTGCAAAAGTGTTGGAACCTAAATTCCTCAATGTGGTAGTGTTGGGAGGTAGGAACCAATGGAGGTGCCTGGGTTGTGACAGCTCTGCTTCATAAATGGATTAATGAATTATTATAGGAGTGAGTTAGTTATCTCAATCATGGGTTGTTATAAAGGAAGGCTGGCCCCCCATGCTTGTTTCTTTCACATGTGCTCAGTTGCCCTTCCGCTTTCTGCCCTGAGAGCAGCAACAGGAGGCCTACACCAGAAGCTGGTACCATACTGTTGGACTTCTCAGCCTTCAGAACTGAGCCAAATAAATTTATTTTCTTTTGCCCAGTCTGCAGCATTCTGTTACAGCAGCAGAAAGTGGACTAAGGCACCTGCTCTGTGGAATGGGTCAATCTTCCCATAGTATACCACATGGGAGTGTTGGAGTCACCTGGGCAGAGGAGTTACACCTTCCATAGAAGAGTTCTGGTTCTGCCCCAGCTGCTGATTGCAGCCTCTGAAAAAATGATTTCCCCTCTCTCAGCCTCAGTTTACTCATCTGAAAGAGAAAAACTCTGAACTGAGAGACATGTGAGGTCCTTCCTGGCCCTAGAATCCTATGCCTATAAATTTGATTTATGGGACTCTAGGACTAAGGAGATACCTATAAAAATTAAAGGTTTTTCCAAATGAGGAAAAGAAATTCTACCCCACTCAAAAGAAGGATAAGGGAAGGTGCTAAAGTTTTAAGTCATTTGCCTCAGGTCATTGCAAGAGGAGGAATAGGAATTTGAACACAGGCCCTCAAAGCTTCAAGGTCTGTGTACTTTTCCTGCCCCATACTACCACACTCATCCATGAAAAATACTACAAAATGCCTTTTTATACAAGAGACCCACTAGGCTAAAGAATAAGGCATGAAGGATACACTTAGGTATAGCAGGTTAACGTCCCCAAAAGCCATTATTTGAGAAGTTCCCTGAATTCATATTTGCAAGATACATCTAGGATGCTTGCTAAGAAAACATGACCATTATAAGGTAAGGAATTGCTGGTAATTCCCATGAAAAACAAAATCCACTTAATTGTAAAATTTGGTTGTCTTCGTCTACATTTAATATGTTTCTTTATGGCAAATTATTCTAAATAAAGAGTAACTCTATTAGGCAAGAGCATTCACCAGACTCTGCCCAAGTACAGAGTTCCCTTTGGTACTCTCTGGAGACTGGCCCCTAAACTACCTTCAGGGTAGAATTTTGTTTTTTGAGATGGTGTTTTTGCTCTTGTTTCCCAGGCTAGAGTACAATGGCACAATCTTGGCTCACTGCAACCTCTGCGTCCCAGGTTCAAGTGATTTTCCAGCCTCAGCCTCTTGAGTAGCTGGGATTACAGGTGCCCACCTCCATGCCTGGCTAATTTTAGTATAGACGGGGTTTCACCATGTCGGCCAGACTGCTCTTGAACTCCTGACCTCAGGTGATCTGCCCACCTCAGTCTCTTAAAGTGCTGGGATTATAGGTGTGAGCCACTGCGCCTGGCCAGGGTAGAAGAAGTAATGGGCACAAGTAGAATTAACAAGACAGTTTGGGAGCAAACCTAGAAAAGTCCTTATAAATCATATTATACTCACCAGGATTAAAATAGGCAGTACACTAAGTAGGATATGACTATCATTTTATGCATTTCAAATAGGCAATAATGGCTATTATACCTTTAATTTTTATTACCCTTTCTTGCTCTTTAGAAGTTTACTACTCCACCACCACCCCCCAGCTCCACCCCAAGTTCCAAAGACAGCAGGAAAGTGGCTTCTTGGCTCTAACAATGGGCAAGGCAAGAGGCACTTTCTCTGGTGTCTGGGCCTCTCCCCAAGTGCCAACCATCTGGTGGCTTTTAGGACACAGAGCTGTTCGCTTTGTCCCCAAGGGTCCTGCTGAGGTCCTAGTCACATTCAGTGACGTCTACGTTGATGCTTGCATGAAACACTCGAAGTCTTTCTCAAGCCCCCTTTTTTTGTCTCTGGGTTATGAAACACCATCATCTCTCCCTTCCCTTCACAGCCAAAGCTTGTGCCTTGGCTTCTCACCTGCGCCTTATCATCCCTCCCCTCTTGAAGAAGCTGGAGAGCTACAGTTTTTACTCCTCCTCTCCCCTCATCTTTGCCAAAGCTTCAGGGAAAACCTCATCTCTTTGTCTTCCATCTTTCAATCTGTTTACTTCCTTTTCAAATCCCATCCCTAAATTCCTTTTTCCTCAAAGTACCTCCAGTGGGCAACACAATGACACTTAATGAAACTAAAATACTCATTTGTTGCCGGAAAGGTTTTAAAAGAAGTATTCATATGCTAGCATTCCATTGAGGGGAAATTGAGTTAGGAAGGGATTACGGTATTCATTCATTCTCATATTCACTCATTCATTCATATACTGAGGATTGTTGCCGGGCAGAATACAATGATGATTCACAAGCAAATTCTGCTTTTGGGAAGCTCACAGGCTGGCAAGAAAAACAAGGCATGGCCACAAAGAACTATAATGTTTGGCAGTTTTGTAAGAGAGATTCAGACAGTGCCTAACGAGTGGACAGAGGATACGGATCGCCATGGCTCTGACAAATGGTGGAAGGAGGCCTTGCAGCAGACTTTGTGTAAGGTAGTGGGCACGGAGACAGCACGGGTGCTCCACATTTGGCAGAGAGGCATGGGAGGTCCAAGCATGACAAAGAACAAGTGTAGATCTCAGCTTTCCACAGTGTGTGAGCCGTGCAGAGGGAAGTGGAGGACATCGCACCCAACAAGAGATGTGGGGCTCAACAGGCTGGGGAATGTGGTCATTGTTCTGTGAGTAATAGGGAGCCTGTGAGTGCTGTTGAGCAGGATGTGACATAATTGGAGATCTGCTCTAGAAGATGAATGTGGCAAGCCTTACACAATATGAACTGGAAGAGGAGTTGCGTGGGGCAGGGAGCTCCTAATTGTGTGCCAGGCATCGGCCAGGCTGTTAGGCGCTTTGATCTTATTTAGCCTTCTAAACAACTGCAGGAGGCAAGCATTCTCCTTTCAGACTTGCAGATGAAGAAAGGAGACTTTGGGGAATCTAAGCTGCCTGCTCCAAAGCCCCTCGTGAGGAAGCAAGGGAGACGAGATCCAAATTCTGTTCTTTTCCTCTCTAGGCAAGTCATAAAGCAAGCTGTCACCCTGTGCGTGACACTGTGTACCTGACACTGCCGTCTTTCTTCTCCCAGTGTAACTCCTGCCTGCCCATGGGTATGTGGGACATGATCATTTCCTGGGCTGCCTTTCAGGAAGGCCCAGGTGGAATTAAATGCAGAGTGCCTCTGCTTCTGTTGAATTCCCCCCAAGTGACTACAGATCAAAGAGATCAGATGATGCCTTGAGATAACACTGCAGAGAATTTCAAAGGCAGCAGGAAACCATCCTCCTCCCTAGCAAGAAGTGTTAGTTTTGTCTTTCCCATCTCAGCTAAGCCATGGTAGAAGGAGCAGTGGACACAGAAACCCAGGAGAAAATCTTCTGGATACCCAGGAATCTGCTGGGGCCCTGCAGAATGTCAGTGGGAAACTCATCATTCCTGTGCTCTGGGCTGATCCCCTGTTTAGGGAAGGCAGTCCAGAGGACTCCTAAAGTACTCAGAACTGTATCATCACACTAGCAGACTGGAGGAGATGATCTCCCATCAAGATGCCTGCTATTAAAACTTTGTTTAAGGAAAAGAAAAAGATCTTCTCATTCTAAACATGGGACATAGTGATAGGTATGTTCTATACTTGACAATCAAGGGTCTGACAAATCATGGAAGAAGGTCTTGCCTTCACTGTGAGAGGAAGCCCGTCACAGTGGCAAGAGGTGGAGTTTTGGAAGCAGAGTGGGGCTGAATCACAACTCCCCTGGTCCACAGCTATGCAGCCTTGGCCAAACCACCCAGTTTGTTTGTTTGTTTGTTTGTTTTACATTTCCTTATTATTAAATGGGAATGAAAATAATGGACTAAAAAGAATAAGTACCTGACCCTTAGTACATACATCATAATGCAGAATTATTTCTTCTAGTCTTAAATGTTCAACATCATGGGTGTTGCTTTCTTAGAGTGGTAGCTCTCCTCCTCACAAATTTGCCAATTGAAAAAATGAATTTTTGGAGAAGAAAATGCTGAAACTACAGCAAGTTATTCATATCTTTGAGCTAGCTCTTATGACCAGTGTCTTATAATTATGCATCTTTGCAACTTTCTCTTCCACCAGACTGGGAGCTCCTTGAAGACAGTGATGGCTGTGTCTTCAATTCTTAGCACACAGTGCTGTCTCTTTCTACCTCAGCTACCTTATTTTGAGATCTGTACAAATGACAGAGTCTGCAGTTCTTCTGATATTTTTATGTTCCCAGACTGGTTTGAAGAGCAACACTGTTAAGAGCACATCCAATCTTCTGAAGACCATCTCATTATCATGTAAATTATTAGCACAAAATACTTCACCTT